AGTGTTTCCCAAAGTGGGTGATACCGCCCCCTGAGCGGGTGCTGGAATGATCCAGACGGCTGTAGTAGCCTCAGGTGCAATTGGGGGCGTTGAATAAAAATAATGGGGCAGTGGAAACATAAAAAAACCGTTTGTGCATGCTTCATCTGTTGTGTAATGATGTTTACCGCCAAGTCAGGCACCATTGCGGGTTGATGACAACGGCTCCCCTGGATCCAATGATTGTGCTGCAGGCAAGGGGGTTTTCCGGGCTTGGGTGAACCCTTTTCAGCTTCACCCAGGCCCAGGAAGTGGATCACAGCTTGCCCTGGGGCAGATCAGGCTATTACTCTGAGTAAACATATATAGGATTGAGCTTCTTGTTAACTTGTTTTCCAAGAAGTTGGAGGTAGAAATACATAAAACAGAAAAACATAAAAGAATGCACATTTGTCACTGTATCTTTCTGTTCACTTAAAGAAGGTAGATTTCCAGGGTGTGCTGAGTATTTATTTATTTTTCTGAAAAGGGGATGATAGGCCAAATGAGTTTGTGAACCTCTGGGTTAGATTACCTGGCAGTTGTGGTTTTGGAGAGGGCTCCTGACCTATTGGTAAATCTCATGTTTTGTACATAGAAGGGCCAGGATTCAGACCCTGGCCATTTTCAGTTAAAGGTGTTGGAGTAACTGGACATGAGGAGGGGTTAATTTTCTTCATGGATGTAAATCACTCCAAAGATAAGCTGATCACAGGTGCAACGTCAGTCAAGCCAGTTGCTATGGTAATGGCCCACTCTCCAAATATATCTGTGATTGATGCATGTCAGCTCAGTAGTGTGTCTGTTAGCCTATAGTTAGTTTGTATGTTAGTTGATGTTGACATATTGAATTGCTGGAGTTTATTTGGAGCAATGGTGATACTTTGTACTTGTATGTATCTGTATATATCTTTGTCTGCAAAAATCTACAATATGTATATATCTACATCCAGAACTGTTTTACTGAGACTTGTCTTCTGCAACTCTTTGGACCTTAAGTTTCTTCTGTGTGGTGACTGGTACTGGAAGCAACTTTCATTGTGTGGGTATCTCTCCTGAGATGCCTATCAAATGGATTTCAAGTAGCAGGACTAGAAAGGCTTTCTGCTTTAGAGAACAGTCAGTCAAAATAGATAATTTGTGGCTAGTTCAACCATGAGTTATATCCCTCACTTTATATCTCCTGGCATGTGCAAAAACAAGTTATGATACTACTAAGCTGATGGAGAACGTAACATTGATCACGGAGTTCAGCACAGAGTTTCAATGGCCCTTACGTTATAGATATCACGCTGCAAGAACCAGATATTGCATTTCTCTAGTCATTACCTTTTAGTGGTAATAATATCAGTTAATGATATGGTGTGGTAGACTGGAAGATGATGCAATGAAACCAATGTGGAATCTAGCATGTCTGTACTTAAATACAATTACTTTATAAATAATTCTGTGTGCTAGGATTCCAGATCTTTTCCCCATTGTAGCTGATCAAAGTAAATATACCACTTTTTCCATTTAAGATTGGCACCTAGGCATGCTCATGTTTCCCCCCCCCCCCAATTTTCATTGGGTAGATAATTCCATATATTTATTGATGTGTAGATGGCAATAGTAGTGGTGAACATGTTTCACTAGACATAGGTTGCAAATTGTCTGTGGTTCTTAGACAATACATGCCTTGATAAACTCCCATTCAGATTACTCTTATACACTCTCAGGGGTTACATGAAGACATTCCTGGTTCATATGACATTTGCTGGCACTTAAATAATACTAATTATGCCATAAAGAACATAATTTCCACAATGCAGCAAGTTAAGATTGTTGATTTGCATGGAAGAGATAAGCATTTGTTTAATTTCCTCCACTACCAGTTTGAAATCTAGGAGATTATTAAATATTTAACTTTGGTTGGGTTGTGCTCTAATTGTATTATCAGAATAGTATTTGAAGGATGTCATTCCCACTCTGCAACCTTGCACTGTGCGAACAGAGCTCCCTCTTTAAATTTAATTTTTTCAGACTCTCCAGCTATTGTAGATATTCTTTTCTTTGTCATTTATATTTTTGTGGTCTAACCCTCAATGTATTCTTCATTCCAGCAGCAAGCATGAATATTGGATTCCTGACAAAACTACGAAGATGTGGCTTTTTTGATGTACACTATTTTGCTCTCTGTGGCTGGTTCTTCTTTGGTATAAAGTAGCTGTTATTTGTCACACTGACAGGTGCATCTACTGCGAAATGCTGGCGATGAAGTTACCATCACTGTTCAGTACCTCAGGGAAGCTCCATCATTTCTAAAGCTCCCATTGGGTAAGGGAAAATTAATGGATCTGAGCAAAACACTTTCCTCCCTGCGGTATTTCTCATAACAAGCAGACAGTTGTGCACAAACAATATTTCATTCATGAATGCTTTAGTTCAGGAAATATTCTGTACGGAAATGCTATACTATTTAATGTTTATATATGTTTAGGCATGCATGCAAGCCACTTTCCTGTGATACATGTATGCATATTGTAACCCACATGGGCAGGGCTTGTGTCATGGATCTTTCTCACCCAATCACTGGCCCCTAAGAGGAAGAGCAGTATGATTGGGTAGGAAAGACTTGGAAGATAAGCCCCACCTATGTAATAACAGTAGTTATAAACATAGCACAGTCACGTGGACCATTGCCCACTCCTGCACACATGAAAAGAATCGGGTTGCAGCAGTGCTGTCATTTTCTGTGTGCTTTTGAAACTAACAGGAGTTATCTGCATATAGCTGAGCTCAATGTAATTATCGCATCAAACTCGTGGTGTTTTTTTTTAACAAGTATGTTCTAAGAATCATAATCATTCTGTTAAATTGCAGCCAGGTTGCCATGTCAGCTATTTAAAAATGGTTCAGAATTTGATTTGTGCAGGAAGTTTCTTAGACTAGAGCCCACTAATTAGCTTTCACTGCCAAAGACTGGGAAGCTTATGAAAACAGAGAAGGTAAAAATACTGCAGTGTGTAGGCAGCGTGCACCCATAAATTCCTGATTCAACTGAAAGTAGTCAAAAGCAGACTATTGGGAAAAGTTCCATCATACCCACTGTCATAGAGAGCGAGGGAGAGAGATAACCTTCTCAGGCATATGTGTGAAACGTGTACAGGTCCTTAGACCAGAAAAGCCCTACTACTCATTGTGGGTGATTATATATAAATTTATAGTCAGCAATCCAGGAAAGTATAGAAATTAGGGATCCTGTATAGATTTTAATGAGGCTAATGGTGTAATGTGCAAGTGAAAATGCTGATTTTAGTTATTGGCATATAAATATGTGGTAAGATGATCCCCAAGTTTAAGGAGTGGTGGCAATAAATATTTTGTTTTACAGTTATCTGTTGGACTCTAGGATTTTTGATTCTGGGATCTGTTAATACATTTTAAGAAACAGGGTTTTTAAGTTGTTGTTTTATTTCTATCATTGTGGTCTTGAAGTGTCTTTCATTGGACCTTTGACCAAGTAAATGATCTTTGGATCTCAGCCAAACGTGGGCAGTTTGGTGGAGCACCTAAGCTCTGGTTGGTTGAGTCACTGCTGTTTACCAGTATCTAGATGGGGAGGAGGGAGGCAGTGACGAGGTGGGCATGGTGCAAGTGTGGAGCCAATCTAGCACCACTGATCTCACCCAAAATTGGGTACATCTAAGATAAATTCAGTATTTACTTCAATGCATGCACAATCCATCAAGAGGAACACATCCCACTAGCCATGTGTGCTCTCTACCCGGAAGTAGAGTACAAAAAGAGGACAGTTGCCAAACACAGTATCAGCCCTGTAGGCTGGATTGGGCTTCTTGGGTCATAAGTCATATATTTTTGGTTTATGTGTCTTTAAAAAAAACCAGATGAAGAAACTGATTAATTGCTAAGTTTATTTGTGTTTAGCAATAAATCATCTTTGGCTGTATCAAAGTTATTAGGAGAGAGAAGATACTTAAAGTTAAAACTGAGAGTATCACCCAGCCAGAAAGAAGGATCGAGACAGATGTGTGCACATTAAGATGGAAACAGTTTAGCATCTAAGACTGTTGAGGTTCCAGATTTTTTTCCAGATCATTCTCTGCTTCATGTTGATTAGAAGTGTGAATATTTTTTCTAAATGTCAGGATTGTGAGGTGATCTGAAAACTACTTGAGGGGTGATGTTGTGTCTTACCATCACTGCTATTATTGCTTGGAAAATTAAAGTATCTTGCATTGCAAGCGGCTTATTTAGAGAAAAAAATTCTAAGTTCACCCTCTGTAAATGAAATACATCACTAGATTTTTTTTTATTACTTATGCCATTCTATCTAACAATGAATAAGAAAAAATAATAATTTTTGGTGTCAGTGGTTTAGCAAAGGAAAACCAGCTTTCAAAACAATATAATTTGGAGTTTATAATATGAATGCAATTGAGATGGTTTTAAAGAAGGGATTTTAAAAAGTGTTAAGGAAGTCTATTTTGATGCCCTTCTTCTCTCTCCCACAAGTCTGTGTATGTATGAGAGTGAGAGAGATGCTATACTACAAACGTTTGAGCAGGTTATTAAAATCTATTTATTTTAGTCTCCCTTCACTTCATTGCTAGACAAGCTTATAAATCTTAAAATAGCTTTCTATGTCTGCAGGATTATTTTATTTTTTAAGTTGACTATGTTTTTATATTATTGTTAATGGTACTGCTATTGCAATATTAATTATTATTTTTTATACTGTGTCTTTATGCTGTGCGAACCACATGGAGTGGGCTATGCCCCCCCAAAAAAGTGGCATACAACTAATTTTTATACAAACAAATAATAGAGTATCCGTGTGAGAATCGGAGACAGTGCTTTTTTCCCCTAGAAAAATAGGTGTCAGTACTCACCATGAAGTTGTTACAGTAAGTGTCACAGTTTTTAACCAAAAAGGGAGGTGGAATGAGGTGCTGGCATTACGTACCCTTGAGTACCCCCTGGGGACCTGCCGATCAGATCCCTCTCTCTCTCTCTCTCTCTCTCTCTCTCTCTCTCTCACACACACACACACACACACACACAGAGAGAGAGAGAGAGAGAGAGAGAGAGACTGACTTTTGATCCATCTAGCTCAGTACTGTCAATCACACTGACTGGTAGTGGCTCTCTAGGGTTTCAGACAAAAGTCTTTTCCCTGCCATAGCTGGATATAAAAAAAATAAAAAATTGTCCAGCAGCACCTTAGAAACCAACTAAGTTTGTTCTGGTATAAGCTTTCATGTGCATGCACACTTCTTCAGATACACTGAAGCAGAAGTCACCAGACCCTTATATATAGTGGGAGAATGGGGTGGTGTATTTCTCAGAAGGTTAGTAGGAGATGGGTTGGGCTCGAACCTGGGACCTTCTGCATGAAAAGATTCATAACAGAGCTGTTTCTTCCCTTGACCGCTTTCTATTGGTAGTGTGGCTCCCCTGCACTGTGCTTATAGGTGGGGAGCTAGAGCATGATAGGAAAGCTAAACTCTTGAGGGAAGAGTTAGAATTGGAAGAAATGAAAGGGTTATTACAGAGAGGGCACTGCACACACAAAAATGGACAGGGAAGGGAATATGATCCATAACGAAGTCATGCTTGCAAGAAATCAAATACTCTCTCTCTCTCTCTGTGTGTGTGTGTGTGTGTGTGTGTGTGTGTAAATATGATTAGAAATTAATGTGGAGAAGAAAAGGAAATAATTTTAAAAATGTTTAAATACACCCAGAGGCTCAGCTCATTGAGATGACAGGCTTCTTATACCTCAACCTGGGGTGACTTTTAAGTTTTTGGAAAAGGAGTAGACTAATTAGCTTTCACATAGGAGGAGACTTCTAAGCCAATTCTTAAATCAGTTTGATGTTCCTTACATCACCAGTTGGGTTTCAGAAAACTCCTTGGGCAGTTCTTCCTTGAGAATAGTTGATCTTGGTAGCAGCTGGTGGGGCCACGTGGGTGGCGCTGTATTGCTTTCCTGGCTTCAGCACAGTCTAGGTGCAACACTGGGAAAATCACACGTCCACTTGAGCAGCACTGAATGCCATTCCAGGCATTTGATTGACATGTGTATCCGCTGCAAAACTCTGTGATTTCATAAGCTCAGTTAAGAAATTTAGACTACCGTCCAATTTATTTATTTATTTATTTATTGCTTTCTCTGTCTTGCATGCTAAGAAATGTATAGAACATGGTGGAAACTATTAGAGTTAAATCATATAGATATAGATGGTATAGATCTAGATATATATATGCAGTGCTTTTTTCTAAATAAAAATTAGAGGTACTCTCATTTTCCTACTCATATTGAAATACTGTCCCTCAATGAGGCCAAACTTAGACTCACAAAATGTTAGGGGTATGCGTACCCCTGCATCCCCCCAGAAAAAAGCACTGTATATACAGTATGATGTAGCTATTTGGATGAAAACAAACCATTTTGTACATATACACTGCAATTCTTCTTCAGTCATGTGCATTAACTTTCCACTGGTGAAAACAAATTATAACACCTTTTTTAAAAAAAAAATATGCTGCATTTTAGGTTCCCCTGGACCATCAAGTGATCACAGCAGTGGCACGTCCTCCCCTCTCTTTGACAGTGGTTTACACTTAAATGGAAACTCAACAAATACAGTAAGTGACTTATACCACTTTGCCTTGTTGCGCGTATAGTTTATGTGACTTGAGTCTCAGGAGAACAAATGTGGCTTATGCCATTTAACAAATTCCAAGAATGTTTATTCTAGTAACATATAATGGTCTGAGTAGATCATGTTGGTGCAAGAGGACAAGATTGGAGTTTACTGTATCAGGACTCTGAATAGTTGAGAAAATGTTCAGGGGGAAATTGTTCAAAGATTTGGAGTGAGGTGTCATTAAAAGAGGAGCAGAAGAAGAGGGAGAAAGAATATCACAGGGGCCAAGCATGCAGTGGAGAGAATGGGTATACTTTACCAAGGCCTGGTGATTCAGGGGTAGGGGCAGCCCAGGCTGAGACCCAATTAGCAAGTGGAGAAGAAAGCACACTAAATTTAAAAGACATTGCCTTTCATATAGCAATGAAAAGGAGTCTTCTGTGTTCAGCTCCATTGCATTTGAGAAGCCAGATATAGGTGAACACACCCAGAGAGAGAGAGAGAGAGAGAGACGGAATAGAACTGGAGCAAAAATACTTCATATTTTATCTGGCCCTGTAGAAAAGTCACAACCTTCCTTCATCAGAAACAAAAAGATTTGAACAAGTGGAAGATGTCTATTTCCCCAAGATCAAAAGCCAAGATTTCAAATGCCTGGAAATGAAAGTGGCTTCAGCTTCTAAGGTGGTTTGTTGAAAGCACAAGCGTGAGGCAGCATTTATCAGATTGAACTGTGATCAAATGGTCAGATATGGAGGTTTAGAAATGTCAGTTACCAGCAATATTTCCCCCCCCCCCAGGAAATGTCATCTGTTCAGTGAAATGGTGCAGTATCTTTTGTTTCATGTACATTCTTTCCCCCCAGAATTGACCCAGGTTTTTTTTAAAAAAGGAAAAAGAAACAGAGCACCTTGTTGCATTTTCAGAGTTTATCACACCAGGTCCTGTATTGACCTGATTCTTTAAGAATGTGAATATTGCTTAAGCTGTATTTTCATTTAAACAGCTGTAACTATGATACTGATATCTATGTAGACTAGGCATATTTTTTGTCTAATAATGACAAATCTGAAATGGAAATCCTCCCAAACTACCTCCCTGGTCCTGTCAGCTAGCTGGTGCCTGAAGAATAGCTGGTGTACTGAAATCTCACTTCCAGTTTTCCACCAGATGCACAGAAATTCAAAAACAGTTGTTGTATCTCCTTTGGCATTCTAAAGACAGGCATCTGATATTAAACCACTTTGCAGATATCAGTAAGTCTAGTGAGGATGCATCAGATAGTCATATTCGTTTTGTTTTGAACAATCCCAGAAGTAAAGGGGAAACTTCAGTGGTACCATGGATAGCTCCGTGGAAACCTCAAGCTGGAGATTCTGTAAGCCATGGGTAGGCAAACTAAGGCCCAGGGGCCAGATGCGGCCCAATCACTTTCTTAATCCGGCCCACAGACGGTCCAGGAATCAGCGTGTTTTTACATGAGTAGAATGTGTCTTTTATTTAAAATGCATCTCTGGGTTAATTGTGGCACAGAGGAATTTGTTCTTCTTTTCTTTTCTTTTCAAAATATAGTCCAGCCCCTCACAAGGTCTGAGGGACAGTCGACTGGCCCCCTGCTGAAAATGTTTGCTGACCCCTGCTATAAGCGCAGAGCTCAGATGTTGCTTCAGCAGCTGACATTCTCAGACGGAGTCTTAATTAGGAGTTGCAGCTCTACCTCAGTTGCTAACTCTGTCCTCATTTATTATTTTCAATATTTCGATAAGTCAGTTCATATAAAGGGGTCTGCCTGCCTTAGCAGTTACAGAGTGGATTAATTGTGGTTCACTAGGACAGAGTCCTTTGAGTCAGGGGCAGGCAATGTGACGCCTTTGACTGAAGAAGTACTAACCCAATTGTTGGCTTCCCCTGTGCTGTATGTATATGTACATATACAAACACTCACACTCACAACATAGTTTGAGAAAACATCATTTAGGTAGTGTACACAGTCATGAGCTTAGCACAGGCAGACAACTGCCTGCACATGATGAGAGGACTACTGAGTCTAAAGCTAGGGTGTGATGCTTCTTCAGGTGGCCTGGCTACCCCATATGAATTGTAATCACTATACAGAAAACATGGTTGTATTTGTTGTGTATCACCTGCAGGAGCCATAGAGGAGGTTTGTGGGGGCACAGAAAACCCCTGAAATTCTTGATACCTGAAACTTGTTGGGTAGAATTTAGCAGTGGGAGTTCTATTATCAGCACATACTACTTTAGCAGTTTATGAAAATCTTGGGTATCTTATTTGGCATTTCTACATTATTGGCACCATAAACTTTCATTGTTAAAGGAGAGCTTTGTCAAAGGAGTGGTTGGAATGAAGAGCTGAAACCATGAAGGATGGATTTCACTGAGAGCTGCAGTTCAGAGGAAGTGCAACTGTTTTGCATGTAAAATGTCTCAGCTACAATCCGTGGAATCTCCAGGTAGTACTAGAAGAGACATATGAAATCTTGGAGCGCTGCTGCCAGTCCATGGATATTAGAGAGTATAGACCAATGGTCTGCCTCAGTAGCAGCCTCTTCCTGTGTAGCAGGTGACCACAGAACAAGTGAGGGATATAGAACTGCAAGGGAGAAGATGTCAGATACAGTGGTACCTCGGGTTACATACGCTTCAGGTTACATACGCTTCAGGTTACAGACTCCACTAACCCAGAAATAGTGCTTCAGGTTCAGAACTTTGGTTCAGGATGAGAACAGAAATCGTGCTCTGGCGGTGCAACGGCAGCAGGAGGCCCCATTAGCTAAAGTGTTGCTTCAGGTTAAGAACAGTTTCAGTTTAAGAACGGACCTCCGGAATGAATTAAGTACTTAACCCGAGGTACCACTGTAATATTCTGGAAAGGAGCAAGAGTCACAAGGCTGTGTGAGGAAAGGCTGTTAAAGACATGGAACTACAGGGGAGAAGATTGTACTGAGTATAAATTGGAAAGGATGACAATCAAAGCTTTGAAACCTTGACATTCAGCGCTATAGCCAGTGCTATAAGCCCAGATGTGGAATGGTTGAAAGGAGTGCTGGGATCAAAATGTGAAAAGGAAAGGCCAAAGACAGCCAGATGATTAATAGCATTCAAGGTGAGAGAAGAGAGAATGAATCAAAGGGGATCATACAAAGATTTAAGGACTTGGAGACTGGTTGCCTCTCTGAAACAGGGCAGGAAAGACACCTGTGGACACAATGTTCAATGGAATTTAAAAGTAAAATGTTTATTCACAGGAAATGACCAGGATTTCTTTTCAAAAGTCCAGGGGGGGGGAGGAAGAATACTGTTCAAGCACTGACAAACAATTATTGTGCAGACCGAAGAAATGCTATGATTAACTGTATTTAAGGTTATTATCAAGAATAGGCGCTGAAATTCAGGATGGGTTTGTGTCTGCTACAGATGTTTTGAGCTCGATAGAAATACTGGTTTTACAGAAATGGCACAATTATAAAAAAATTCCACACTTCTGCAAAGGCTTCCACTTTTCAAGCAAAGCAAATTGAATGAATGGCTAAATTGGCAGTGAAGGCTATCAACGAAACAAAGGGAAAATATGAATACAACATAAAAATCAGTCTATATTAGCTGTAGAGTTATGTGAATATTATAGATATCCCTGTCATTTCTTTTGTGTTTTAAAAACTTCCTTCACTGTTTAATTTTTTAATATAAACCATTTTAATACAAACAGGGCACTGAACACCCAGAAGGCTGTGTCTAGAAACACAGGAAACTGCCTGTGTTTCTGCTCTTAGTCCATCTGGTTCAGTGTTGTCTACACTGGTGGACAGCAGGTCTCAAAGTTTCCAGGCAGGGGACATTCCCAGCCATACCTGGAGATGCCAGGTGATTGAGCCTGGGACACCTGCATGCAAAGCAGACAATCTACCACAGAACTACAGCGATTTCCCTAAGCAAAATTCATGGGTGTAAAAATAAGTCCTACATCTAGCGCTTGGGGGTTGTGAAGCTTGTCACTGCCAAATGTTAACTGTGCCTGAGGAGGAGGGGGGATGCCTGTAGAACCTCCCCATTTCCTCCTCCAACAGTGGTGCCACTGGTGGAGCTAATAGAAAGCCAATTCCATCATCCAGCCACCTCTTCTCCCCCTGGGCTCCCCAAACCCACATGAAATTAGGCTGAGGGCTGGGTGCAGACCCTGGTCTAGAGGATCCCTACTCCTGCAATAAAATAAATAGGCAAGTGTTGCAGTGGAGGGTCAGGGACTGACAAAGTTGTCTTTGGTATAGGAATGTTGCAGGATTTGTGGAGAGTATGTCAAAGGGTATGGAGGGGGGCTGAGGGTGGTGCCTGCTAGCTCTGTTCCTGACCTCCATATGTTTAAAATATTGGTGGTACCTGGTACCAAAAAAAAGCTCTTTCCTAATCCCAATTCCACTGGCACTGATAAGAGTTTTGAGACTATAAAAAATCCTCATTGCAAATATAAGTTGAAAATAAGCAAGAATGTGGAAGAGATCTTATGATTTCTCAGTCGATAGGCAAATGTTTTTCAAGGACTGACCACCCCCCCCGAAGTTTCCTAATGCAGATTAGCTAATTCAGAGTAAGATTTTTGCCAAAATGATTGGGAAATGTCCATTAGTTTTGCCTTTGAACATATCCATTGAAATAATATGCAAGCTATCTTAAGTATATGCAAAGTCGCATTTCAACTTCCAGATGGTAAAAGCATTTCTCATAGAATCTTAAATTTGTTCAGTCCTCTTTACAAGAAAGGATTGTAATCTTTGTATTCATTGTCACTAGACAAAATAAATATTTCAGGAATCTCAATTTTTTATTTCCCCCCTAAATTTTCAAATTTCACATTACAAATTAAACATCTTTTATACCATACATGTATTGACTTCCCTCCCTCCCCTTCCAAGGTTCATTTAACTTTCCCACCATTCCTGCATAATTTGAAATATCCATCTAATTCTGTTTTCCTATCTTATATCACTTCAACATTTATTATACTGTTGCATGTACTTTAATACTGCCAGTGTTGTCAACTGTACACAATTATTTTCAATATACTCAGCAAAAGATTTCTACTCCTAGGAATCTGAATTTCTAATGTATGGCTATGTGTTGATTCTTCCATCCAGAGGCAGCCTTAATTGGAGCTTTATAAATTACTAAAATTACTAAAACAACATAAGGAATTTGTTCACTTTTTTCCTCTATAGAGCTTCACAGTCATTCGCAGAACTAAAACAGAAACTTGCCCAAGTACTGCAAATCATTTGTCATAAGAATATGAAAAGCTGACAGCTCTAACCGACTGTGATCCCATGAGTTTCTTTTCTTCCTCCTCGTTTAAGCATTAGGCACATTGCTGCAGAAAGGATGTCTGATTAGTTCTGCTACTTAAAAAAAAGTTTTATTGTTTTTACAAGAACTGGTTGCTTCACCCCTGCTGAAAAACTTGTTGTGTTTCTCTTTCTGTTTTGAGCAGTGTGCCTTTTGCTTTGTTTTGTTTAATTGCAGGGTCCCTCTTCTCTCTCTTTTCCACCCCTGCCTTGACCACAATGGCTTAATATCTAAACACAGATTCCAACTTTTCCCAATAGGCCCCTGCTAGTTAAAGTTTGTATCAGAATCTGGCTGAAATTTACAGCAAGGTGGCCACCAATTGCCCATAGAAATGGTAGCTGCTTCAACCAAGAGAAAGTGTTCTGCCACCGCCACAAGCAGAAGCTGACTGAAGGTGCGAGATTCAGGGCAAATAGAATAAGGTGTTTCTTCAAGCAGTGCACTATTGATCTTTGGACTTCAGTGCCACATGGTGCCATGGTGTCCATTGGCCATATAAGAGAATTTGGCTATACAAGGGAATTCATAGAGGATTCATATGGCTGCTAGCCATAATGGCTAGATACGTAGAACCTCCAGATTCAGAAGCTGTGTACAGTGTCAGTTCCAGGTTTTGGGGGGTCCTTGGATGGCTCACCTTTCATGGATCCCTCTCCCTCAGTCAGTCTACCTTCTCACTGTTGCAAGACCAGGTGGCTCCTCCTATAGTAGGGAGCCTTGGGAGATGCCCAACCATACAAACCCTTGATGCTGGCCCCAGCAGCATGGCTGAATACTAGTTGATGGGGTGGGCACCCAATGGGAATTTACTGTTGCCTTCATGTTGTGCTTGTTGTTGGTTGAAAAACTGAGCAGTTGTGTTAGCTTTAATGTAAAGCTAAATTCAAAATAGCTGAAGATGAAGAAGAGTTTGGATTTGATACCCGCTTTATCACTACCCGAAGAAGTATCAAAGCGGCTAACGTTCTCCTTTCCCTTCCTCCCCCACAACAAACACTCTGTGAGGTGAGTGGGGCTGAGAGAAGTGTGACTAGCCCAAGGTCACCCAGCAGCTGCATGTGGATGACCCAGGCAGCCAGGAACTTCATGTGAAAAATTGTTGCCAGAAACTCCATCTTTCACTGAAGGGTGACTTATCACTCACTGTTCCAGGGTGGAATGAGAAGAGCCAAAGAAATCTCTAGCCCTTGTGTGTATCACCTCTCTGGTCACACAGCTTTGTTGAATTGCAATATGTACCTCCCGGTAGCATAAAATGGGGCCAAGCTGCATGTTACATACAGTTGCCTATAACTCTGTCCTGCTTTTCTGTCTGCACAAAAATACATGGGAACTGCTCAACATGTAACCATGGGAAAAATATCATTCTCTCTTAGCCAAACCTATCAGAGCCCTTGTTATTCTTGTGTAAATGGTGGTACCCTGTTGAGCCCCTGTCTCCAATTTTGACAGCCAGTCATTTCTGCATGGACTGACTCTCTGGAGAAATAAAGACACCGAAAGCTTCATGTTTGACTAGGTGAATTCATTTAATTTTAAGTCTGGATATTTATTTTAGCTTTACTGAGCGAAAACATTTCCCTTGACAGAAGGCGTTAGTTTCAAGGAATGACAATTGAGCATTTTCATGAGTCCTGTGTTGCTAATCGTTTAAATTCTTGTAGCAAAGGGATCTCAACTCTCCAGTTGTTATTTGGGATGTAACGTTCTGTCCCCTTTGAAATGGATTTAATTGCCTGACATGTGTATGGATACATTTCTTTCGTGCTACTTTCATTATTTCAGTGTTAATTATCTTCAACTCGGATAAAAGTCGAGTCCAGTCTAAGCCAAATAGAGGTTGGATATAAATATTGATTCATATATTAAGTCAGAGACTATGCCCTGCTGTTATACAAACCAAGATCTGTAATACAAATGAAGATATCTGGAACACCCCCTCATCAGATGTCAAGAAAATAAACTACCTGACTTTAAGAAGTCATCTGAAGGCAGCCCTGTTCAGGGAAGTTTTGAATGTTTGATGTCATATTGTGTTTTAATTTGTTGGAAGCCACCCAGAGTAGTTAGGAGAATGCAGTCAAAATGGACAACAATTTAGTTTAGTTTTTAGTTTAGTTTAGTTTAGTTTAGTTTAGTTTACCTAACCTAACCTAACCTAACCTAACCTATTTCTGCTAATGTATCTGAGAACCAAAGGTGATTTAAGTTGAATAACAGTGTGTGCTCCAAGGTCATCTAGTGAGCTTCATAACTGAGTGGAAATTTGAACCCTGGCCTCCAAGTTTCTAGTGTGACACTCTTACCACACTGACTTTTTATGTCAGAGAGGCATAACTCGATCTCCCAAACCTTCTATCTTTAAGTAAATGTAAACATGGGGAAACTCTGATTTTGAGCACAGATGCGACACACGGTCCTGTTTTCTCTGTGTTATTTTCCCTCCATCCTAATCAACTGTTAGTGGTTCTACTAAGGAAAACCATGTGTTGTATTCAACGTAGTTTTAAAGCTACAGTTCCAACAGCGCAAAGATTTTCCTTGTGAGATAAAACCTTCTCCCCCTCCCCTCCACTCGCTTGCCCTCTAAATCTTTTCTGAGGTTTTCCCCCATCCCTCTGGAGCAGATTTGGGAATTGTGAGTAGTGGGTCCTATTGTGCCAGCTTATGCTAGAACTTCAGTTCAGCTGAATACGGCACCGCGTACTTTACCCTGTGCAGCAAACAGCACCTTCAGGTGAGGAGGCCATTTGGACCAGGGAAAATGGCAGTGTGGGGATGTTTAACACATTTTGCACATTCCTTGGCTCCTATGCTGTTAATTTAAATGGTCTAAGATTTGAGCAAGGCCAGCCCTACCATAAGGTAGGTAGCAAGGTGGCTGCCTAGGCAGTTGATTGTAGGCATCGTAAAAGGCTTAGTTCTTTAACTTATTAGTGTTGTGTTTTTTACTGCTAGGGAGGGGGAAAGTCACTTGTGGGATTTTCTTCTGCAAGTTCCAAATAACTTGACCAGCCCTGACCTTTGTGGGCAATGGCTCCATTTCCTGCTCCACCTCAGTCAGCAAAATGACTTGGGCTTGCCCTGGATGGGGGAGGTGCTTGAGGTGGGCTGTAGCAGCTATTAGTAAGCAGCCCCCTTTGTGCCATTAAAGGCATTGTTTCCCAACTAAAGATGGTTCAGTAATTGATGTGCAGGGTAAGAATACCAGAGTTGCATACCAAAGGCATTTTATGTTTGTGGCCATCCTATAAATCAAGTTCTGTAACTGTGTTCTGCAACCCAAGATTGTGATTTAATTTTATTTTTTTTAATGATATTTATTAAAGTTTCAAAGAATACAAAAACAAAAAATAAAAATACAAGAAAATACAAAATACAGAAAAAAGAATAAAATTTTTTGTGATTTAATTTTTTACTACAGCTTATTATTAAGGATTCTGCCCCCACCCCCTGTACAATGTATTCCATGGAACTGGGGGGGGGGGGTCCCTATTGCTTCATCCAACCACATCTCCATGTTTTGTCTGAGTCTGTATATTCACATATTTTGTAGCTCACACTTCCATGTCTTGTCTTGT